CTAAGGTAATAATTATAAATCTTTAACAATTTCAAGTTATGAAATTTTGAAAAGTTTATCGGTATCGTTGGTGTCGGTAAGTTACTTTCACAATCAGTATAATCTTCAAAGTACGTCACCAAATAATTCAGGGTATTTGCCTTTTTCCCTAATGTTAAAAAAATTTCTTCATATAATTCCTTCATTATGGACCCACGGGTCATCAGCGTCCCAGAATTCATCAAGGTCCCGTAATTCATCATCATCCCATTCGAAATATTTTAAATTCTTTTGTACCTCAATCAACTTGACAATTCCATGATTGACTTTGAGTTCTTTATTAATAATAATGATCCTTTGTATCGACTGACAGATACGTGCTAATTCATAAAAATGCTTTGGATTAGTGGACATATCACATGTGATTTCACAAAGTGAATCAAGACATGCCTTCGCTTCTGTAAAATAAAATAGTTGGTTAAATGATCTCATATTAAAATACTTTAATGCTGAACATTTTCTCATAAAGTAGCTGTAAATTTCTTGTTGTAAATGAAATTGTTTATAAGTTGAGGTTGAACAACCAATGGAAATTATTTTGTTTAAGACATTTATGTTCATACTCTTACAGAAGCACAGATAATCGAACAAAAGTGATTTATGTGAAATTGGAGGGAAATAGACTCCCTTACTGGTTAGATATAACTTGATATCATTGGATAAAGAGAAGGTAATGACGTAATATAAAGAACTTTTGGTTTCATAATCTATTTGATCTGAAAAACGCCAGGGATTCTTCCATAAAAACGGAACCACGGTTCTACACCAAAATCTATTAACTAATAGGCATGAAAAGAGGGACTTTGAGTCATCTTGTAATTCTTCATATAACAAGTAAAGAATATCTCTATAGAGGTTGGACATGTTTAAAAAGAAATCGTGGTGCTTAAAAAAAGGGAAAAAAAGCACCATTATCTATATATTTTTTTTAAAATTTTTATGTGCGACACATTTTAATTGATGCACCAATAGAATTGATGTCATGAATGGTCATGAATGGTCATGAAGAGTATATTTTGAAAAACTGGTTACGCATTATTACCAATTTCGAGATATAAATCAACATAATAGCTGTCATTATTTTTGTCGGAGATATCGTTAGAAGAACTACGAAATGCTATGTTTATTTGGCGCAGTTCCCAATCCCAATTTGGCTTTTTCGTCACTGTCCGATCGATCCTCCATGTATGATCATCATAATTATAATGTATTTGAATTTCTTTGGCCAAATTATTTTTTTTTCGTTGTTTATGGAATTTTGTGTAACAAGAATTTTTTTTTTTTTTTTTTTTTGCTTGTTTCTTCGTTAGGTAAATTAAAAAATTTCCCCTTTTTTTAAAATTAATAAAAAATAATAATTTTGTAAAATTTTTTTTTTCACTTCATGAAAATTAACACACGCATTTAACGGTTTATATTATTTACGACGACGGACATGAATCAAGACAGAAACTGATAAATCACTTACAAAGGATGAAAGATCAAAAGCGATAAAAGTATTAAACGAATATTATGATTATTACTAATAAAGGAAAGAAAAGACAATGTAACAATTGCAACCAATAATATTTGACAACTTTATATTGTGAATATTATGTTCGTAACTATTTATAATCGAAATTTTCAAAATTGGACATCATGACGTTGAAAGTTTAAAATGTCAAATGGAAGTTCACTCCCTGATATAAGTTACATATTTAAATATGGGTGGAAGTTCTGATGTTTCTTTGAAGGAGGAGGTTATGATAGATGGGATGAAAACAATCTAGAATTAAAAGGTTTGGTAGTAAACATATGATCCTTAAAAGGTTGGAAAATGTTAAAGTTGCTAACAAAAGTTGGTTAGAAGAGTACGCGTAATTTAAAATATTTATAAATTTATTTAAACGTAATTTATCTTCAATGATAACTAATAAATAAATTTGTGGGAATCGCGAGGATGGCAACAAAAATATTAACGGAATAAGACCAAAAATAATATCAAACATTTTTTTAGAATACAAGAATTTAATGGAAGAGTGTTTGGACGTTATTCATAATATCAAGAAATTAAATGGAAATAAAAAATTCTTAAGAAATTTTTAATTAAGTCAACCAAAAAACAGAGGATGATTTATAAATAAATAAAACATGTAATATAGAAATAATCCTAAGAGTTGCTGAAATTTACAAGTAAAGTTTATAAATTCTTTTCTGATATTTGATTGGGACGAGGCAATTCTTCTCGTACGAAAAATCAAGTGTTAAACGTATGTCTAAAAATGATTAAGCGATTATCAATATACCTTAGTTCCTTTTGTCCCATCAGTTATTTAATTTAACTTTCACACTAGTAGTAACGTTCTTTTTAGAGAATGGATAAGCTCAATTGTGTTCCGTTTACCTCGTTACCGATAATATTCAACAATATTATTGGTAGATTATACGTAAATTCTCCAAATGAATACGCAAGAGTAATATACGTCAATTTAGAGTTAGTGAAATGCGACAATCTTGATTATTTAGCAAAGTAATTTTATCAAGATAAAATGGATCACATTTATTTTAAGTGTCTTCATGAATCTCGATTGTAAACTTTGCATAATCGATTTTAACGACCTAACGATCTGGCTTTGGTTCGGTTTGGTTCGATTGCACTGATTGTTACTTAATTTAGTTTCTAACAAAAAAAAATTAATCCATTCTAATTGAGGTCAATTTAAAGTATTAAAGTTACGTTCTATTTCATTATGAATTAAGTTCACAGTAACGCAGAGTTACCGTAAAATTATAATATTCATAATTATTCATCATTTATCATTAACTGCTCTTTTATATATCACGTGATTTCAACATAATTATCATCTTTATTTTAACTAGGGAGGCCTGAGGCATATCCATCTTCAAAATTTTTGGAAGTGAATCAACTCGAAAAAAAAACTTAAAGAGCGCAAAATTTTAAAAAAAGAAATCATTTAGTCACTGTGCCCCGAAGCAATCCAATAATAATAATTTAATAAAAAGAATTTTACCTTGCCGAAAGAAAAAAAATTAATTGTTAAGATAAAATTAAAAACAAAACTTATGTGGCCAACTAGCATCAAAATCCGTCAAATTTTTCAAAATTACCTTCGAAAATTTTTATTTTTATTTTTTTTTGTCCTTTTTATAAAAAAAAAAAAAAAAAAAAGTAATAAAATAAATGTAATGCGGATTTTTCGGTATCAGGACGAAGCGCCAAATTGGGTAACGGTAAGTATTTTAAAAAGTAAATCTCCTGCGCCTTTTTATGATTTTTAGGCGGCAGGCAAGTATGGTATATTTTACCACTGCCCATTAAGCTGATTGTTAGCGTAAAGCGAAAACTGAAATTAGTATGATCGTATATGCAAAATCTTTCTAAATAAAGTTAAGCAACGTGCCACTAGCTTTTCAAACATTCTTTAATTATGCTAAAAAAGATTCGTTGAACGACAATTTGAACAAATTATAAAATTAAGCAAATGTAGATGCAGAAATTTGTCAACTGCTGCTCTTTTTTTTTTTTTTTTTTAAAAAAAAGACACTTGTTGGGATTCTTGGGGTTACACCCATCAATGACATTTGCTGCGTCCAACTATAATTTAAATTTTTGCTCTATTTTTTAATTTTTTATTTGTGTATATGAAGGCACATATTAATCTTGTCACAAAGATAGTAATGTTACTCGTTCATTTTATAAGCATTTGTAAGTATTTGAACATTGATTCGTTTTATTAGGAAAAAAGAAATCAAATTTAAATGTGGTTGCCTGGCAAAACTCTCGGGGTTCGACGGGTACATGTAAAACTATAATAAATTCTTACTGGCAAAACCGTTGAAACTCGAAACCATAATAAAATCCGTCAAAAGTCAAACTAATTAATAAAAAATCCGTCGAAAATAGGATTACGACTTTTGCCATTTGCTAAAATGAGGTTTATTCTATCTAGTTTGCTCAAGAAATCATGTGACATATTATTGGGGTGAATATTTTAATAATTAGGTTGTCATTTTATCAACTAGAAGATTGACAATGGAAGGTTTGCTAGTAAATCATACCTCCCATATATAGACAGATTTGAAGTTCTTAATAGCATCGCCGTATTAGAGACTTACAACCCCCATAGTAAAGCAATTTATCTAGTTGTTTACCGTTACACAACTTTGATAATCGCTCGTCATCAACGCAAACGCCAAGTATTCAGAGATTGGTGTATACGCAATCAAATCACATAAAGTCCCGAAAGTCAAAAAAAGGATGAGATTATACGATATAAGCAAAAAAAAAAAAAGAAACGAAAAAAATACATTATGTCATGGTTCAGACTGTCGTTAGTAATTGTGCGCCAATCGAACGATATCATATATTCACTCTTAGGTATCACATGAATCCCAAGAGATGACGAGCTGCAAGGCATCCTAAATGAAGGATTTTTACACATCAGTACATTAAGATATTAAATCGAAAAAAAAGTAAGTAATGTGTTTGTACTTTTCCAGCCTGAAAGGGTTATTTCCTCCGCTCATGTGGTAGAGTGTGTAGTAGACTGTGATACTGACATCATGTTTCACCTTCAAATCGTTGATATTATCACATACACCATTTGAGTAAAGAAAAAATAGAAAATTAAGGAGAGTTATAAGTAGACTTTTTTTTTGAATTTCCATTTTAATTTACAATAAAAAATTTCATGTGAAGGAACGTTGTGACAAATTGGGTAATTGAAATATACCCTTTTGTTGAGTTCCAATTTCAATCATGATCTTATTGGTCAATTTCTGTGTAACTATTTTAAGGCCATCTGATTAATTGAACTTCAGACAGAATCTGAATTTCAGATACAAGGCCGTCTGAAATTGAGATATCTGAGATTCAATTTCAAATAGAATCTGAATTTTATACAAATTTTGTATTAAAGTAATATGAAGAATCTATTATCTAAATGTAATGTATAGTTGCGTCACAAAGTGACGCCCGATTTGAAATTAAAACTAAATATCAAATTATTTATTGATTTTTTCCGCCATATACATGAAAAAACACTAGTACTTTGTTGGCCTGCCCTTGCTTTTAATACTGCATTAATTCTTCGCGGCATTGAAGTAGCAAGTTTCTCAAAAATGGAACTGTCAAAATCTTCCCATTTCTGCTTTAGTTCATTTACAGTTCTTGAAAAGGCCTCCAGATGTTGAACATTATCTTTTAATAACTTCCAAAGTTCTCTATCGGGTTTAAATCAGGGGAATTTGCCGGCTAATCAATAGTTGCGATTTTATTTGACTTGAACCATTTCCTTTGTTAATTTTACGGCATGTATAACTAAAACTAGCTGAACAAAAGCTACAATATAACTGATTTACATGTCATGACTAATCATTAGCATCACGAATAGAATGCTGAAAAGCTTGTACCATTTTGCTCAACTTTATATTATCGTGTACGTAAATTAACTGGTTTATATTTCTCTTTATTTTTATTTTATCAACTTTTTTTATCACTTCGAGTTCATAGGTAAGATTTTTTTTTGATTTATTTATTTGGGTACTATTGAGAGGCAGCAATCAGTGGTTTAATATATAGGAAAAAAAATTCAAATACTTACCCGATTTGACGCTGCGCAGAAGACCATTTTATTTTAAAATACTTTTACATACGCACCTATACCGAAAAATTCGTCTAAAAATATTATTATTTATTATTATTTTTTTTTTATAAAATAATATATTATATATCTTTTACTTTACTTATTGTGTATTAAGTGATTATAACAAATTTATCAATACTTTCTTCACAACTTTACAAATTAGCGGTTGCGAACCCTAATTCGACTTTGGTAAAAATCAAAACTTTTCGAAGATAATTTTGAAAAATTTGACGGGTTTCGATGGTTGCAAACTTGACAGTTTAACATAATATCAGAAAATTTGCGCAATAAAAATTTGTCGATGAAGGCCACCCTGGATGATTAATATAAGTAATTTCATGGGGAGTTAGGAATATCGCAGTTTTTTTCCCGTAGGGAAAAAAACTACGGTATTCCG